CGAACTATTCCGAAAATATTTCAAAAATTAATAATATTAATTATTAACTAATTATTAATTGGTTTTTAACTAAAAATAACCTCAGATTCAGATTCTCTACACTCGATTACCGTTTGGTGAAACTTTACTCGAACATATAATAATACTAATTATTAAATGATTATTAACTAATTATTAACTAGTTAATTTTAATAAACTAACCTCAGATTCAAGCTCCCCACCCTCGATTACCCCCCCCGCCCCCAGTCAAAGTTTTCCGGAAGTATCTGAAAAATTAAATTTCAATGTTTTTTTGACCCTGCGGACAGACAAGCAAGCAAGCAAGCAAGCAAACAATTTATTCTTACTGGACTCTTCTCTTACGAGAAAGAGAATATAAGATTGTATCAAATAACTGACGATAGTAATTTCGTTTGACTTTTTTGTTTTTTAATTTTATTGTGATATAAAATAAAATTTATACAACGTAACAACAGTAACTAACAGATTAATCTATCTGCTTATGATATTCACTCTCATATTGGTATTAACATTGTAATTGTTGATAGTACATAAAGATTTTAATTTCTAATAGAATGATATTACACCATCTATTAATAAATTTCGTAAACGTTGTATTATTTTATTAATAAGAATAATATAATATTGCTGTTTAGTATCTACGTTGTACTAACGAAAAAATATTCTGTTTCTTGTAGGCTATGCATAGTGTTTGAAAAATCGAAAGATACATCTGCACATGTCGTCAGTAAAGAAAAACATGTTCACTCTATTTGTTTAATATTAAAATATTTTATAAAAAGAATAATTTTATTTTATATACAAATTCAACGTTTACAACAAACAATAACTTCAGAGGCAAATGAATCTAAATTAAAAGAATGGTTTTTATTAATTTCACCTGAAAATAATATATCAGACGTATAAATAATAAAATTGTATTTTTCATTCTAAAAAATTCTTCTCATTTATTTCTAGTTAACTCTTCATGTCATGTGAACGATTATTTCATCAATGAAGAGTTAAATGCTGCGCATATTTCTGGAACCAAGCATTTATTAGATCGTATTCGTTATCTTATTAATGATAACAAAAAACAAATTGAAATTGCTCATAATGATATTAATAATTAATATCAAGCATTATTACTTCAAGTAAATAAGTTAACTGATATTATAAAACAACATATTACAAAAGTAGCAAATCATAAAACAAATGAAGAACAATTCAAAGATTTTAATAAACAACTTTTGAATGAAAATCAAAAAATTAAACGTGAAATACAAGAATATCGTTCGAAATTTCTTCAAATAACAAATATAAATAATGAATTAGAACATGAATTTGATTTAAAATGAACAAAATACGAGAGATATACAAATTCAATTTGAAACATTCAAAACTAAAAATCAAATGTTAACAAATATAATATACTATCTTCTAATTCGTATTTTTTTTTGAAATTCTTATAATTTATTATTTTCTAATAGGAATTACAAATAAAACGTGAAACTATCAAATGTTATGAACAAGAATTACAATCAATGAAAGATTTATTCGAAATAACATTTAAAGAAAAACAAATACAAAATGATCAATTACAACATGAAAGACAATGTAAAATACTTTTTACAAGTTTTTAATATCTAAAGTTTTGATTTCTTCTTAGAAGTATTTCAAACTAAAAATAAAGCACTTACACAATTAGTTATTCGTGATCGACATAAAAAAGTCAACAAATCAATTAAATTCTAATACATTACAAAAAGAAATGATTGATAATGAAATCTATCAATTATCAAATAGTTATACTGAACAAAATTTTAATCGATTTATTTAAATGAATAAACAAAAAGTAAATTTTATTTATATTATTTTGCAAATAAAAACAAACTTATTTTTTATAGGTAAATGATATGAAATGTTTATTAACATTTGGTTGTGAAGTTATTGTTAAACATAATGATGTTATTCCAGAAAGAAGTAAAACACAATATTCAAGAAAAGAAGGAGCTGCTGATATAGACACCGAGCAGCATTAGATCCTAGATTATGAGTTGTTGTCTTTTTTCCTACAATTATTAATTACATTTTGGTATTATTAGTACCTTTTCATAATTTGTCTTTTTTTTTAGTCAAAACATCTCAATAGACTATCATATACTTTTATTTAAAGATATAAAAAAATAAAGTGAATATATATTTGTTGTGATCGACGTTAGAAAAATATTTATTTCATATCGAGACATATCTAACAAAATAAAACCTATATAATCTAAGATTGAGGCTGTTTTAAGTAACTATATAAACATAAAATTAAAATCAACTGAAAAACGAATTTTTTAATTATATTTTGTATTTATTTTTGATTTATATATATCTTCGAGTATTATAAAAGTACTTTTTATCTTAACAAAGAAGTTTACTTTTTTCTTTCATTATTTATTTTCCTTTGAGTATATTTAAATCAATTCTGTATGATTTAATTGATTTATTAAACCCGTCTCAATTCTTACACATTGAAATTTGTTTATTTTATTCGAATAGAAAATAATAAGTTATTTTTCAATCATTTGTGACGAATCTGATGCAGTCAAGTGATTGCGAAGCAAGATTATTTTCTTCTGAAAGATAATGTAAACATTGAACGTCTGAATATGAAGAAATAAATGTGAAAATAAAATTCTTTTGGAATATCAAACAAAAATAAAATGATTTACATGATGAATATCGGCAAATATTAGTCTTTTTGATAAAGTAGATCTTATAATTTTATTTTTATTTATATTTTCGATAGCATTTCATAACAAATTCATTCTCTGATTATAATTTACTTGAGGGTGTGAATGTAGGTCAGGATGAAGTTCTGTGAAGGCATGGCTATGAAGCAAGGAGAGAGAAGTTTCACATTCTTATAAATTCATAAGAAGCATTGTGTGTAGATATTCTTCAAAAAAAAATTAGTTTATTAATAATTTGAAATGATTGTATTATAAGTAGAACTTCTACTTATTGTTATTATTATATGTCTCTATGATGATTTATTGTCAGCTAGTTTGGTCAGTGCACAAATTATCAATGATTTGTAATACGTTTTATTTTTAACTTAAACCAGAAGTCATGAACATTGTCGTAAACTATTCTGTTAAATAAAATTATTAACGAATATTTGATATATCTAAAAAAAATATTATGATATGTATACAAAGAATTATTATTTGTTGAGTTCATTACCATTTTCAGTGTCTATGTCACTGATATTTGACTATCTTAAAGCATCAAAAACAATAATATTGTGTTGTAGGTATTGAGCAACAATATTCTATGGTTAAAACATAGTCGATGGTGACAGTTGCACATTATTTATAATCAAATCGATATGGTTTCGGTTCTATAACAATACAAAATAAACTTTATATACATACAATTCCTAGTCTGGGTGACTTACACCAGTTTCAAATAAAGGAATCAATATGTGAAAACATTTATTTATGTGTAGAAGAAGTAAAATATTATATATAAGAGTATTCGGCGGGGTGTGAGTGGGTGTGGGTGTGAGTACGTGCGTGTGGGTATGAAGGCGTAGCTCGAAACAGGTGGGTCAAACTCAATAAATCCTGCAATAATTTGAGAGCTGGCACGTCGGCGTGTTAAGCTCAACCATGGGTGTCCTGTTATTAAAATTGAGAGAGTGTGGACGTGAGCGCAGTTTGAAGCATTTAGGTCAACCACAAACTATCCTGCAATAATTTGGGTGGTGGAACAGTTGGAAACAACTGTGTCAAGCTCAGTATTTCCAACAAAAAAGGTGTAGACCGGGGTAAAGGCTGTGTTTTAGCGTGCAGATGTGAGTGTATTGGGGTTAAAGATGTGAATAAGATCTATGTGAAGAAGCCCACACTCATGCGAACAAGCCTGTGTGCACACCAAAACCCTACGTTGGTATTGATGTAGAGTAGAACTCTCTAGTAACGACACCATCTTGAAGGTGTGAGTGTTATGTTGATCTCTAATTCGCAGACGGAGGCACAGCCATAGTCGCTCTCCCATCATCACTCATGGCCGACTCACACCCACACCCTCCTCTAATTTTTATCTCTACCACATAGTATTGAAGTATTCATAATAAAGCACGTTGAGTTTTAAGCATTTTACTCGAATATGGTTATAAACGTCCTCTCAGTTAAAGAAGGGATTTCGTGGGTGTGAAAGATCCGAATATCGTTCTGTCCTCCGATTTACGATGTAATCTGATAGGATCCTTCATTTGAAATTAAAAGAAAAAGGCTTGTTATGAAAAGTCATATATTTATTAAATACCGGTCAGTACTTCGATCCTCATTTCCTTGCAAAGTAAAAAGACGATTAATGAAATCCTTCATAATTTATTGATCTGTGAAAATATTTTTATTTTGTATTTTCCTTATTGAAATGACTATAAACACACAAGAAAAAAAACATTTCAGGTTAGAAAGAAATTAAAAGAATACATAAAAGAAAAATAACTGACTCAATACAACCATAAATAATATAGATATACGTATATAACGAAAAAGGGGTTCACACGCATGCAAATAATTTTTTTATTCTCTTAACGTTTTCTAGTTGATCGATTTGTTGTTGGTACAACAGTTGTACTTATACTTCGTTCTTCATCTAAATCATCATCAGTCAATGCAGCTGATGCAAAACGTGGTGTTGTTGCACGAATTATTTCATCGACAGATGCATTTCGATTTTCATATAGTAAAATATTTAATGTTTCTTCATATATTCTTGCTTCAAAAAATTCAACCTTATTTTGTTTTCGTTCAGTTGCATAAACAATTGATGTACAACAAACTTCAGCCATTTTTTGTCCATTACCATAAAAACTCCAACAACAAATTTCTTCACTTCCAGTTACATCTTTAATAAATAATCTTCTATCATGTAAACGAATACTTAATTTATCAAACAATTCAATATTTTTCATTAACATTTCATCCGATGAACTAATAAAAATAAAAAAAAGGTTTTTTTTTCCAAAATTTATTTACATCTAATTAACTTACGCAGTATATGAATATTTGTTATTATGTCGATTAATAGCTAATTTAACAATTGGTTTACGTACTGTCGTGACTATGTTGGGTAATTCTTTTGCTGATGTTAACATAATTACTTTACAACAAGCATCTGTATCACCGGCATTTTTTCTTGAACGTGTTCGTAATTGTTGTTCAATAAGTTCAATCAGAGATTCTATACAATAAAATTTTGCTTCATGTAATAATTCATTTAATATTTGATTACATTCAGGTAAATTAATTGTTCCATCACGTAAATAATTTAAAATTAAATCAAAATGTTTACCATCACGATCAATTAATACCCAACCTTCACTATCTTGTACAACTTCCATACGTCCACTAAACATTGCTTTGAACATGGTATCTTCTTTAGTTAAAGTATCAAAACTACGTAGTTAAAAACAAATGATTTCCCACATTAAGTTTAACATATTTTCCAAAATGATTAATCTGTCCTGTCATGGTATTTCTAGTCGATGTTGATATTGATGGAACAGTTGGTGTAGTTGTATCACTCATCTAAAATTCAAGTTTTCATATATGTATATTTACTGACATAATAAACTCTTATTATCATGAAAATAAATGTAGTAAACAAGAAATACAAAAAAACAAAATATCAGTACAATTTCAAATGACGCGTTATCTCATTGATTGATTTAGAAGATGCTGAAAATAAATCAAAAGAAAATTATTCTTAACAATTGCATATTATATTAAGTACAAACCTGGTCCAATTCCAAGTACTGTTTTACTACCAGGTTCAATTTGTGTTCGTCCTAAAAAATTAAATTTTGTTTTAAATTATAAAATAATTTATTATCCTACCTGCATCTCGTATCAAACAAGTTGTAAGACCTTTACGTTTAGCTTGACGTCGTAATTCTTCTCTAGAATAAAAAAGAACTAAATGAAATTATTTATGTTTTAGATTTATTTTTTTATTACAAATCATCCGCTGATTCACATTTACAAACAACTTTAGCTTGTCCACCAGAAAACCATGTATCAACAGCATCAGGAGTTTGTTCACATGCTTTTTGAAAACAACCAAGTGTAGCATGAGAACATTAGAAAATGATATTAGATTTCATTTATTATTTAATACATATATTCACCTGTGCTGCGACTTTTCCTTTTCCCATTTTAAGATCATTTCTTACGACTAGTACCATCTAAAATTAGATTGATTTTATTTTTTCTAAAATCAATATTGCTTGACTAAACTTACCTTATATCCTCCTTCAGTATCTAAACAACCTGGTTCGAATCATCTTGAGGTTGTGAGTGTTGGTTTGGTTTAAATAAAATACCGACGTCTACACTCACACTCTTTTTCATAAAATAGCTTGTGCAGCTCTTTCAAACGATAATTTCGAATGTTCTGAGACCTACTTAGTCAGAAGAAGCGAAATAATTAGTTTTTACAAAAATAGGTGTTTGTGGAAGTAAATCTCTTTGGAGTGTCGTGCTATATTGATCAGTTATACTTTTTCACCTATTTCCTTGTAGCGCATGACTCAAAAATGTCTTTGACAAAATTTTTATCGATGTAATTGATAGCATCATATATGAAGGAAGGAAAGGAAGGAAAGGAAAGAAAAGAATATATGTGCTAACGGAGAAAAAGATACCCTTCGTGGGACTCGAATCCACACCTCCTGCTTTCCGGGCAGTTGTCCTAATCCAGTTAGACTAGAAGAGACGTCTTAATCTCCGTGTAGCGTCGATGATGTTATAGCGACGCTAACAGTAATTCATCCAAATTGGATAATTTTTTTTTTTAATGAATACGTTAGATGTTGCTTTCAGAAATGTATTTCTGATCTACAATCAAACGTGCTAAACGATAGAAGAAAAATTAATTATGAATAAATTACAATGTTATTTTATAAGAATTTAATTTATTATATAGATACAATATCAATTAATCCATCTGATTTCTACCCATGTTCACCTTCAACAAAGATTTCTTTTTTACGTTTGTTTGCAGTTAACGATGAATCAACTTTATTTTTCATTTTTAATAACGAATAAATAAGAGTATTTATATATTACTTGTTACTATTGAATATACTAGATTTTTTCTTTTCTATATATAAAATCTCAACTACTAATTTTGTCAATCGACATGTCGTGTCAACAGCATGAATAATGTTGTAAATGAATGGAGAGAGAGAGAGCACTGTCAACATTACACTTACGACAGTAATCGTTGAAAAAATACGAACGATAGAACTGATCAACAACACATTCATTTCTTTTTTATTTTACCGTTCAGCATCAAAAAAAAATTTTTCGCCATAGTTTGTTCACAAAATTTAATTGAATCATATTAAAAAAGAGACTGGAATAGATTTATGTTTTTTAGAGGAATCTTCAATGCCTGATAGAAAATGGGAGAAATCGATTCTTTTTCTCAATCTTCAGCATAATATTGAAAGCACTTTTATGTCAACAAGATCAAACTTAAAAACATTCACTATAATTCATTTCATTTCTCTATTCAAGGACAGCCTGACCCGTTTAGGCTGCATCTTTTGTACATAAAATGTCGACATTGATTAACATACCTGAATGGGCCATTCTCTATTTTTGTCTCACACACATGCAGCGAAAACGTATCATGCTGGTATACTCACTTATGTCTTAATAGGAGAATGATTTTATATGTCATGGTGTCTCAGAAAAATATTTGCTTATAAACATCGTAAAATATGAAAACAAGTCATTTTGTGTTAGAATATGTTTCATTAGCGTGAGATATTGAGTTCAAGCTTCATTTTTCTAAACTTTTGTGACAACACTTGTATCAGTATGTTTTATATCGAAGCTAACGATTTTTTGAGAAACATTCGAGCACATGAAGTCATCGTCGATTACTAAACTTATTAGTTTATACTTCGAAAAAAATTTATATATCTCTCGTCTCTGATTATATCCACACTTTTCTAGTGTATCGATGGATCTGCCATCAAACCAAAATCGACATGTCTCATCCGTTGATAATAATAATGAACGAGCAAGAAAAAATAATGTCAATAGGTAAAATGAATGTTTTTTGTAAAATAATTTTGTTTGTTTCTTTTCATTCAATAAAACAACAGAAATTCAACTCCTTTCTATGCTTCAAAATGGTTTGCAATTATTATGATTGTTATCGCAATCGGCTTATTAGCTGTTTCTATAGCTTTGGCTATCGCGCTTGCAATAAAATCTAAATCAACAAGTATGCAATGCTAATCTTGAGTAACCTCAAGTAGAAGAAACTAACGTATGATCATTTTTTTAATAGACGGATCAACATATGCAACTTCCACGCCTACGACTGGATCAGCATCTGCAAGTAACGCGCCTACGACTGGACCAACATCTACAAGTAACGCGCCTACGACTGGAACAACTGTGTTAGCCTCTCAGTCATTCGTTTTGAAATGCGATCCAGTCATATCAACTAGTAAGTCAGATTGTATTAAAACTGTGCGTATTGTATTTGAATATTCTTCATTTGATATTTTACAGACACAAAGAATCAAGCTGAAACACGTGATGATACGACTCAACAAACAAAAATGAAATTACCAGTGGCTTCATCGAGAGTTGGCGATAATATTTTGTTAAAAAATACCTATATCGTTGAGTTTCCGGCTGATGTTGATGTGAAAAACCATTTTGTAAGAGTTACTACCTCTCTAAAAGCATCCAATCAAATCGTTGAATCAGAAATCGTACTACGACATGTGATTAGTTCATCAATATTCAATGGAGCTTCTTTTTCTACCACTACAAATGACTCAATCGAAGCAGCTCAACTAATAGAAAATGCTATTAACATCCATCCAGTTTATCTTGTTCCTGGTCCACGTCTTCTGAAGAGTACATTCTCTTCTGATAGATCGATTAATACTGCTCAATATTTGATCAATGCATTTGATTTAACAGGTGTTAATCAAGTTCACAGTCAGTTTCAGAATACTGGCAAAGGTGTTCGAGTAAAAAACAAACACACTTTTATTAAGCTTATAATTTATCTCGATGTATAGGTGGCTGTTATTGACACAGGTGTTGATTATGCACATCCAGCTCTTGGAGGTTGTTTTGGAACAGGCTGTAAAGTGGCATTTGGCTACGGTAAATTACTAGAGCATCTTTTTAAAGATAGATTGACTCAAAGAGAAACTATTTAGATTTTGCTGGAGACCAATTTAGCAGCAGTAATCCAATACCAGTGCCTGACAATGATCCCATAGATAACTGTAGTTCTTCTTCACATGGTATTTATCAACTATATTTCCTCTTTTCCATAGTTTTATTGATAATTACATACACTATATAGGGACGCATGTTGCTGGAATTGTTGGTGCAAATATCAATGGAATCAATCAAACATACTTTATTCCTTCTGTACCTTTCAGTGGTGTTGCCCCTGATGTTACTCTTGGTGCATGTAAGTTTGCCTTTGATGTTATTATTCAATACTCAATTCTATCTTTCCACTATCACCTAATAATAGATCGTGTGTTCGGATGTCCTGCTGATATGACTACTACAGGTACGTGTAACTCTTCATATTGTGCCACATTGATCATTATTTAATTAAAATATGTCAATGTATTTGTAGATTTGGTTACTGCAGCACTCTATCGTGCTTATGATGACAAGGCTGATATAAGTGAGTGTGTTTATCTAGCATTTCTTTAACGGATATTTTTTTATGAATTTGAATTCGCCTATTATCTATTTAGTAACTATATCTATCGGTGGAGCTGCTGCTTATACAGAAGATCCGCGCACAATAGCTATTCAACGAATAACCAATATGGGAGGTAAGATTTATATTCTCTTAGGAAATGCTCTGATACAATTTTTGTCATAGTATATGTGACAGTTGCACTTGGTAATGAAGGAGAGGGTGGTCTAGAAACTGTCAATATGCCAGGTGCTGCACCCGATGCAATGGCCATTGGTTCAGCAGACAGCACATACACATTACGATATTATATCATCGCACCTGACGGTTCTATGATATTTTATGATCCAGGAACTGCCTTTGGTCAATGGAACTCTGTTTTTAACTCTACTATCTTCGTCAACAGTGATTTATTATTTTGTCTACTCTATTGAATAACTTATTAGTAATATTTAGATCCAAACGGAGGAGTAAATAATGGATGTGCCACATCAAACCCATCAATGAACGGTACCGTGGTTTTATTTACTTATACCACTGAAGACATATGTAGTGTCGGTTATCGATGTAACCTAGCATTTGAAGTTGGAGCACGAGGGTGTCTTATCTACAGCCTTGGTCTTACTACAGGTATCATTTCTTTTCTCTCAATTTATTTATCAAATAATTCGTTTCTAGAAGGATCATACTTTATTCCAACGGGTAGTATCAGTCTAGCAGATGGTCAGCGTATCATTAGCACAGTGGCTGCTAATCCTTCTGCTATTTATACATTTACTAATTTGTTCGGGCTTAGTTCGATAGTAAGTGAATTTATTCAATATTGATAGTGACTGTTAATCTGCTATTTTACGAAATTGTTTCAAAAATGAATAAATGTGAAAATCTTAAATTTAAATCCGTGTGCTTGGTACTGAAAAAAAGTAAAAATAATTATCAATATAGAAAATCAGAAACCAAAAACTGAAAATTTTCACTTGGAAAAGATAGGATGTAATAGACGTAATTAGATGAGACTAGTATGTAGCTCATGATATTCTCTATCGAACTTGTATATGCTTAATAAAAATATCCAAAGTCTACATAATCTAATTTATTTGCAGAGTACTGCTGGAACACCTAGCGCATTCTCATCGCTTGGACTCACGGGTGATTTATTAATTAAACCACAGATAACAGGTATCGGTGGAATGGTTTATTCAACAATTTCGGTCTCTGCTGCCGTCCAGAATTCGTTACCGAAACCATATATGATTTCGTCTGGTACAAGTATGGCAACTCCTTACGTCGCCGGGTATGTTCAATGAATGGAAAGAATGACGTGTAAAATCAGTATTTTTGATTGAAAAGATCGAATATAAACAACTATTTTGTGAAACACGACCTAAAAGGAGTGTTGAAGTGTATAGCGATAGAAATTTGCACATCCTCTCTTTACAGATCGTGATCGACAGGGTTCAATTCATATTCTAATTACTTCTTTTATTTTCAAAGGACTCTGGCACTTTTTTTAGCAAGTATTGGTAATCCTGCTCCATATACAGTTAGCGGCTATGCACAAAATGGACAATGTCGTCCTACGTTCTCTTTAGTTAAGAATATATTTCAATCAACTGCCAATGCAATTCAAATCTATAATTCTATTGTTTTCGCTACTTCTGCAATGCAAGGTGCTGGTTTGGTAAATGTTTATCAAGCCATTACTGCTGGAACGATATTTTCACCAAGTGAACTTGCATTGAATGACACAGTGAGACGAGCAACATCATATCGAGTCAGTGTTATTAACATTGGTAATCAAACAGCGATATATACAATGAGTCATAGTGGAGCTGCATTAGCAACTGGAAAAGCAACAGGCGATGATCAACTTTTGGCACAACCAGTATACACAGCAGATTATGCTGTAAGTGTTGCGTTTATAGGAACTCACATTAAATTAAAAGATTATTGAAGAAAGAGAAGATTTTAAATTAGACTTATTTTCGATAAAACGAATCTACTACAAGAAACTGACGTAATCGACAGTTAGAGGATTTTTATGCAGGATGATCTATGAACTCAGTCAATAAATTGCTTTTTCTATTATATAAAGGATGTTATTATCAATCCAGTTCAATTTACGCTTCAACCTGGTTATTCACGTGAGATCACTCTTCAATTTGGAGAACCTACAAATGCAGATCCAAATCTTCTTCCTGTCTTTTCTGGTTTCATTTATGCCACTAATCAAGTCAATGGAGAAGTTACTCATCTGTTCTGTAAGTTTCTATTTCTAAAATATATAATGACATCTTGACAATTGTATAGATGCTGGTATGGTGGGTGATTACGGAAATGCAGGTATTTTCGTTCGAAACACGACATCAGGTGTTATAACAGGAATTCAAAAATCAGATGGTACATATGTATCCGATGGAGAATTGCCCTCTTTGAATGCTACAACAGGGATAACTATTCAAATAGTTCTAGCATGGTCAACACGTGTGGTTATCGTACAAATTATTCCAGCAAATGGAACTGTTCTCGTTGGATTGAATGTCAGGTAATACTTTATAAGCTGATTCATTTGGAAGATTTAGACGAAGATGAATATTGCTTAGCTTTTATTTTAATCAACATAGAAACAGGACTGACGAAATATATCTCGGAGAATAGATTCAAATTCAGTTTAGTTTAAAATCATATTGTTTTTAGTTCTGCCGTCATGTTCACTGATACCGACGAGTCGGAAGCGGTTATCGTTGATCCACCGAGAAATGCAGCTGCCGGTGTAGGCACAAGTTTTGCGGAATCATATCCAGCAGTATGGAATGGTAAAGTTGTTTTGAATAGTGTGAATGGAAATGCTTCAGTTACGACAATGCGTAATCTCAATCCCGGTACATATCGAATCCAATTTTCAGCTCTCAAACATTTTGGAAATCCATCAAATGATAATGATTTTGAAGTTTTCAATTCACCAGCGTTTAAATTAGTATTCTGAATCTTTACAATATGATAGATCGCATCTTTATTTAACTTCAACTTTTCTATTTACTAATGTTTTATTATTTATTTTTTTCTAAAATTAACGCTTTTCTTCCCGTCTCTCTCATACCAGCATCCACACGCTTTTTATTATTTTAATAAATTTTTAAACGGTATAAAAACAAATAAGAAGGGACAGATTGTGATACATATACAAAAAAAGCTGTATTTACTGTTTTATGATTGATAACTGTTCCTTACAATTGACCAAAAAATTCAATATTATCATCCTACACCACATACTCACGTCGTGCAGAATCAAAAATAGTTCTGCAAAATTCTTTTTTTTCAGAGTAGAAGACTCTTTTCAAAAGCGTCAGTTTTCATGAAAGTTTGAAAAAATACTTCATTTACGTCGAAGACATCTTGGTGTTTCTGCTACCGGTGAAAATACAGGTGACCTGTTGCTTTATTTTCATAGAAAAGTATTATTCATAAGAGAATTTTATTTCATGATTAGATAAATATATTCAACAAAATTAGAAAGAGCAAGATTGAAAATGTGATGAAAGAATAAGAGAATCAATCATCTTGGTCCTCTCAGTCTCCCTGTGCTATATGAACCACACAATCTACGATCGTTGCAGCACCTGCACCTACGACTGCACCAAAAGGTCCCCCGATAGCTGCTCCAGTAGTAGCACCAGTAGCTGCCACAGTCATAAGCTCCTGTGCGATATCTGAAGGTTTATCGTCGGACATTCTGAAAAGAAAACAATATGAGACTAAGATATCCTTTTTGATATAATCTACTTACATTCAATGTGTGTAAAATAGTTGTCTAAAGAGTTGAGGTTCTTCGACTATGTTCGATTTTAAGAAGGCAAGATAGTGAGTATATGTTTGTGTGATATTAGTTAAGTTCGCTGTATTATATACACTAGAGATACGTGCTGGTATGGCTAGAATGTTGTATTTTTCCTGGTGATAGTAGGGATAAAACCGGAATTTAGAAGATAACCGAAAGGATAAGAAATTATTCGATACATTCTTCGTACTTCTCTTGTTCCTCTTTTTTATTCATTTGATAACAATAAAGAGAGAATATAGAATCACATAATTATCATCGACGTGATAGTATGAAAATAGAACGAAATACTCTGTATGACAGAAGATAGTGCTTCTACTAGAACACTATTGATGAATCACGAAATTATTCTTGATGACATCAGATCAAGAAATTTCCAAGACAAAGAACAATGATTCATCATATACTAATTCGTTTTTTGAAAAAGCAAATATTAGATATTAGTCTCATTGATTGTAAAGGATAAGATGGCCTCTCTGTAATGAACAGCCAAGAAACCATTTCAACATATTCAATTTTCAGATGATATTGTGATAAGATTATAATTGTTACGAGAAATTACTTTTTACTTTTCTAAATATAGCAACTATTTATCTTTCCGTGAAGATATGTTAAGTTAAAATAACTTTAAAATCAATTTTCATTGTATTTTATATGATCTTTCTTTGCTAGATGCATTCATTCATATTTTATAAAAATAAGTCTGTGCAATATAAGAGACGTTCAATAAATCGAGTTGGTAGAAGTATTTTGAAAAAAACTGTATCTAAACGGATGGTACCAGCACCTGTAACATGTATGTCGAGAAAAATACTTTCTGCAATGACAAATAAATGAAAATGAATACAATCAACAATTTACCATTATTACTGCTCATGTTTTCAAATAACGGACGATAGCGACGCATATCTATCAACTATTTATTGGGTGACATTTGCCTTCCAATCCATTAATGTGCTTACACGTACGTGCGTATCCGTTGATGTTGACGATAGGGTTTCATCAACCAGGTAGAACTGAAAGAAACTTTGATATCATATGCCTTGATCCTTTTTTAAATAGTAGTATAGCTTTAAATAAATGTTGTTTATCGATCACTAGTTCGAATAATTATTTTATCGTTTCAGAATGTCGACTGATACACGTACTGAAAAAGAAAAAATGATTGCTGGTGATATGTATAATGCATTTGTGCCAGAATTAGTACTTGAACGAGCAAAATGCCGAGAAATGGTTTTTGATTATAATTTAACTCGACCCACTGATGGAAAGAAACGTGGTGAAATATTAAAAAAATTATTTGGTCAATTCGGATCTAATTCAAATATTGAAACACCATTTCAATGTGATTTGGGTTATAATATTCATTGGGGTGACAATTCATTTGCTAATTATAACTTCACTATACTTGATATATGTCCAGTTTACGTTGGTAATTATGTTCTTATAGGTCCTGATGTAAAACTATATGGTGCAACACATCCAATCGATCCTCAAGAACGACTTAATGGATTAGAATATGGTAAACCTATACGAATCGGTAATAATGTATGGATTGGTGGTGGAAGTATTATTGTAGCTGGAGCAACGATTGGTGATAATAGTGTTATTGGAGCTGGAAGTGTTGTTGTCAAAGATATACCAGCGAATGTTGTTGCTGTTGGGAATCCTTGTAAAGTCATTAAACAATTACAACCACCAACAAGACCACCGAAAGAGTTTCAACAAATGACTGGATTTGATTATGAAAAGTTAAAAGAAAAATAAGTTTTATAACATAATGATTTACAGCAATATTAATAATATTATGCGATTAGCTTTTAACATGAAATGATTTTTTGAATAAAACAATGACACATAAAAGTAAAATCGAATAAGTTTTGTTTTTCCTGATCCTCAAAAATTCTGATTAAAACTGAACTTATCATTGACAAATGAAATATGAACTCACATTACAAATTTGAGTATAATAGTTAATAAATTCGCGAAGTATTGTTGCTGAAATATTTCGAAAGGAAATTTTGTTAAATATAATCATTGCATTGGTACAATACGAAAGCGATTTTGAATATTGTGAAATATTTTCACAAGATACGGAACAACGAATCAAATTTCAAAAGATAAACTAGCAAGTATACTCAAAAATTTGGTTTAGCAATTGAAGTACATAGAAATGAGTTCGATTTCTCAACAAAAACTTTCAATATCTGAATGGTAAAATAGTTCATTTTATGTAAAGGATATTCGCACTACTTTTTCGTGTTCTCTTTATTTATCATATTATTAATTAGCAAAGACTAACTTGTACTATACCGTAAACGAAGTTTACTTTTGAATTAACATTCTGCTCTATATCAATCGACGAATTCCTAATATTTCCCAATAGTCGATATTATCATATGTGAAAATTAAATCAATTACATCTGTGTTGCATGCCTCATGAAATGCATTGACTTGTAGTTCATTGATACTAATGTTTCTAAAATTTACAAAGAAATTTTTACATTAACAGCGGACGATAGCGACGCATATCTGTCAACTATTTATTGGGTGACATTTGCCTTCCAATCCATTAATGTGCTTACACGTACGTGCGTATCCGTTGATGTTGACGATGGGGTTTCATCAACCAGGTAGAACTGAAAGAAACTTTAATATCATATGACTTGATCCTTCTTGAATTATAGTGTAGTCTCATATAAGTGTTGTTTATTGACTGTTTCAGAATGTCGACTAATACACGTACCGAAAAAGAAAAAATGATTGCTGGTGAAATGTATAATGCATTTACACCAGAATTATTACAGGAACGAGCAAAATGCCGAGAAATGGTTTTTGATTATAATTTAACTCGACCAACCGACGGAAAGAAACGTGGTGAAATAATAAAAAAATTATTTGGCCAATTTGGATCTAATTCAGTTATTGAAACACCATTTCAATGTGATTATGGTTATAATATTCATTGGGGGGAAAATTCATTTGCTAATTATAATTTTGTTGTACTTGATACATGTCCAGTTTATGTTGGTAATTATGTCCTTATAGGTCCTGATGTAAAACTATATGCTGCAACACATCCCATTGATCCTCAAGAACGACTTGATGGATTAGAATATGGTAAACCTATACGAATTGGTAATAATGTATGGATTGGTGGTGGAAGTATTATTGTAGCTGGAGCAACGATTGGTGATAATAGTGTTATTGGAGCTGGAAGTGTTGTTGTCAAAGACATACCAGCTAATGTTGTTGCTGTTGGTAATCCTTGTAAAGTCATTAAAAAATTAGAATCGCCAACAAGACCACCGAAAGAATTTCAACAAATGACTGGTTTTGATTATGAAAAATTAAAAGAAAAATAAGTTTTATAACATAATGATTTACAGCAATATTAATAATATTATGCGATTAGCTTTTAACATGAAATGATTTTTGAATAAAAACAACGCTTTTACTCTTTTTTTTCTTGTAATTCACGAGTCAAGACATATAATGTCAATCTAAATAAGCTCTTTATTTGCACTAGATTAATGATAATATTCTTATTTCTAGATAGTTAATTTATTGTAAAAGACCAATTAATCCATGTTCATAGTCAGAATAATAAGAGGTCGTCTATGGCGTTTTATTAGTTTTTTTCTAATGATATATATATTATTTGTGCTTTATTCGTTACATTTATTTAATTCTGACAATCATGAAATAACAACAACAACATCACCACCATCTCATATTAAAAAAAAAGAAGCAGAAAATAAAGAGCCAATGCAAGTTGATGTTCCTCATGTTAAGATCGATTTGTCAAATTTGCAACCTGTAATGACTAAAGGTGTGTTAGGTAATTATGAACCAAAAAAAATTGAAAAAATACCTGGTCCAGGTGAGGGTGGTGAAGGTGTTATATTAACTGATGCAAAAGAAAAAGAATTAGGAGATAAATCTGTTGCTGAATATGGTTTTAATGAAGTAGCTAGTGATAAAATTTCATTAGATAGACATACACGTGATACAAGGTAAAGACTAATAAATTATTTAGAAAAAATGTTATTTATAAAAAAAACAACATTTTTAGACCAGATGAATGTAAATATTGGAATTATCCAAGTGTGGAAAAATTACCAACTGCATCAGTTATTCTAGTTTTTTATGATGAAGGTTGGTCAACATTAGTACGAACAATTCATTCTGTTATAAATACAAGTCCAAAAGAATTATTAAAAGATATTATTTGTGTTGATGATTATAGTGATGATAAACATATTACTGAACGTTTACCGGAATATATTAAGAGATGGAATGGTCTTGTTAAATATGTTCGAACAAAACAACGGTAAATTTATCTTTGAAAAAAAAACATATATATATATTTAAAACTCGTTTTCTAGTGTTGGACTTGTTCAAGCTCGTGTTGTTGGAGCACGTGCTGCTGCAGGTGATGTTGTTGTAGTATTAGATGCTCATTGTGAATGTGTACGTTTTGTTTGTTCTATTCTTTTTTGGAGATTTGTACTTTTCTTATAGGTAACAAATTGGTTACCACCATTATTAACTCGAATAGCGTTGAATCGTAAAACATTAGCAGTACCAATTGTTGATGGAATTCAATGGGATACTCTTCAACATAATTCAGTTTATTTTGGTGGATCACTTAATAGAGGTATTTGGGAATGGGGTTTTCTATATAAAGAAACTGAAATACCAAAACGTGAACGTGATAAATTACAATATCCAACGGAACCTTATAAAAGTCCAACAGTAAATTATAGAAAAAACAAATAATTTCGATTATTTTATAAAAAATTTTAATTTAGCATGCCGGTGGTTTACTTGCTATTGAGAAAAATTGGTTTTTTGAACTAGGTGGCTACGATCCAGATATTAAAATTTGGTAAGATTATTTTTTTATTAGAAAAATTAAATTTAATATTTTTCTTTTAGGGGTGGTATGTATAGAAATCTCGAATAAAAGAATTTTAATCTTATTGTTTTTAATTAGGTGAACAGTATGAATTAAGTTTCAAAGTTTGGATGTGTGGTGGACAACTTGAATGGTAAATTTCATATGAGGAGATCGATCAGTTTTTATTTATTTCATTTTTAGGGTTACATGCAGTCACGTTGGTCATATCTATCGAGGACCACGTACACGAAGTATGCATCCTCGAGGTGCAAATCTTTATCAAAGTCATGTTAATCATATGCGTGTTGCTGAGGTATGAAGTTGCGTTTATATATATCTATCTAAATTTATTGATTAGATTTGGATGGATGATTATAAAAAATATTATTTAAATCGTCAACCAAGTCATGCTCATCTTGACATAGGTGATACAACTGAATATAAAGCATTACGACAACGTTTAAATTGTTCAAGTTTTAAATGGTTTTTGGATAATGTTGCATATGAAATGCCTGATAAATATCCATTACCACCAGACAATCTTGTTTGGGGTGAAATGCGTAATGTAGAACATAGTCAAACATGTGCTGATACATATGGTAAATCATTCGGTAATGAAATTGGTGTATCTGGTTGTCATGGGCAAGGTGGTAATCAATTATTTCGTCTAAATGTCGAAGGTGAATGGTCAACGGATGAACGTTGTCTAGTAGCTAATGGTGATTCTATTGTATCAAGGTAAGCAAAAGAAAAATCAAGTAAATATATATAGATTTATATGATTTCTTTGTAGATACTGTGTATCATCGGGACAATGGATTCCGAAAGGTGAATGGACATATGATAATCAAACACGACAAATTCGTTCATCAAAAGTTTCGAAATGTGTCGAAGCCGACAGTAAACGTTTATTTTTGAATACTTGTCAAAATAATAGTACGGCACAAAAATGGATATGGAAAGAAACGTATCTGTAATGAATAAATATCAAAAAATATCTATATATATAAACTCAAAAGCTCATTTTGATAATCTCAAAACTAACATTTCCATCTTCTTCTTGTGATATCTTTCATTTCTTTTTCCATTTAGCTTTTGATGTTTTTTCGTGCTGTTATAATTTATTTTAATAATTTGTTTGTTTTTTAAATAAATTAAATAATCGCATATAGCTCAATTGATATTAGTTATGACTATGAAACGTATCTTAAGATTGATAACTTTTATATGATAAAAAAAAGAAGTAATAGAAAAAGACAAAAGTAGATATGAATATTACATCAGACAGTTTGATTTAATCGATCAGCACATAATTTTTCAATATCATCTAAACTTAATCGATCAACAGTATTTTTCATTTCCTAGAAAAACAAAATAAAAGAATAAATCGAAATTTTTATTTTTAAATTTTACTGTTTGAAATGCTATTACAAATGCTTCACGTTCATTTGGATTTTCAATCCATTTCGATGCAAGTAAACGTAATTCATTTGTAAATGCATTATTTGTTGATTTAACGGGTGTAGTTTGTGTTGAAACCATTAAATGTAATTTTGAACCATCACTTATTTGATAATCACATATGGATCCATCATGTAATGGTTTACCTTTGAGAACTAATTTTTGTTGATTGACTGGAATATTTAATTGTTGAGCAAGACGGGATTTGATTTCTTGAATTGTATCAAGTGGTGAAACCTAAATATTTCTTTTTTTAGGAGAAGAAAATAGGAGCAAAAAACTACATACGTCCAATTGAATTTCATTTGTTCCTGGGCTATTAAGTTGTTTAATATAAATAAACATCTAGAAATGAGCGCATATGCGCATACATAGAATTTTTTTTCTTGCGCATACAGATATACATTTACTTAATTAGACAAACTTTCTTTTTCTAAAATATAGAAATCTGTGTAGACAAAAAAAAAGAGACAAATGTTAGTACATATTTTAAGCTATATAAAACTAAACACACGCACACACATTGCTTGATTCAATAGGCAAGCAATAAAAAAAAATATTAATTATAGTCATATCAATAAATGTATTCTTCATCATCATAACGAAGATAATTATACAATAAGAACACAAATGAGCAAAAAATAATAAGAATTGTATATATAGACATATATTTTAAACACGAAAAAAAGATTTATTTTCATTCCTCAATTTGTGATAATGGTGCTGAAAGATTTTCAGCAACAGTTGGTCGTTGTCGTTTAGCAGCACGTTGTGCAATACGTGATTTATCTGGTGTAAGAAGATTTATATTTTCTTCGTCATCGGCATCAGCTCGACGTTGATTATGATTGGCAGCAGCAACTAGAGACAAAATCAGTATTTTTGAAATATAAAATTCACTAAATCAAGCTCACTTGCAACTCTCGTCTGTTCAAAAGTGTCTGTATCAAGCATTGGACGCATATCAATTGGTGTTTCTGGTATATCACCTGTAAACCATGGACATCGAATAATCCAATCAATAGTAACACGTGCAGCTGGATCAACCGTTAACATTTTTTGTATAATTGATTTTGCTTCCTGTGAAACATTTTTCCATTCAGCTTTTGGAAATTGATATTCACCAGCTTTAATTTTCGTTTTCATTCCAGCACTAATAGCACCACCGTGTATAGAAAAAAACGGTGGATAACCACATAAAAGAATGTACATTATCACACCCATTGACCATATATCACATGCCTTATCATATTTATCATTGGACAAAATTTCCGGAGCAACATAATATGGAGTATAACTAAAAAATCATATATTTTAATGAAATATCAGATTTCAAAATTCAATGTCAATGTTGTTCTACAAGTTCTCAACTAGACTAAAATACGAATTAGTTACTGTGTACTGTTCTATCGTTTAGTTTTAATTCTATCATATCTTTAAATAATGTTCAAGCTTCTTCCAATAAAATTCAAAAAATATTTAAATTATTCTACCATGGTGTATTTAACGGCTGTTGTTCATTGTTACCTATTCAAAAAAAACAACTCGAAATTAAATTTCCTCATAAGTTATTTTTACCTTCTTTGGCAAATCCAAAATCTGTTAATTTAAGTATAGCATTATCAGCAGTACTTGTGAAGAGTAAATTTTCTGGCTTGAGATCACCTATTAAAATGATTCATTTCTTTTTGTGTCGCTTCGATAAAATAACTACTTACGATGAGCCTATAAACAAAAAAATTAAACATCTTAAAATATAAAATCTGTCTTTACCATATCCATATGATGTAAATGTGCAACAGCTTTAGCTATCATTAAAATAGTATTCGCTGCTTCTCGTTCTGTAAATGGTTTATCTTGTCTATCTCTTATACGATTAAATAATTCTCCACCATCCATACTAAAATAATTCGTATTAAACAAAATTCAATTTTGTTCAAAATAACAAACCATTCCATTACGATCAATAAACATCGATTTGATGCATACATATTTTCCTATTTATAAATATATATTAGAGATTTTTTTAATGAATATTCTTTTACATACATAAACATCAAGTACACGAACAATATATTCACAACCTTCACAAGCTTTTTTATGTAGAATAACTTCACGTCGTGCTTTATCACAATCTTTTAATATCTAAATTTTGAGATGAAAATTTATAACAATTTATTTTTTTTTTGTTTCGAAATAATTTACTTTTAAAGCACATTTACGTTTTGTTTCCTTTTGCCAACATGTTAAAACTTTACCATTAATACCAACACCTAATGATTCTTTTGATACTTCATATTCATCAGTGACAGCATTACGACGTGTTGCAAATGGAAATTGACGATATTTTTCCGAAATATTTGCTAGTCTAGACAAAAATATATATTTAATTAATTTTCGAATTCAAATAATTATTCTAAAATATATATATATTCTAAAATATTATACATACATAGGAGCATTTTTATCAAGAGCTTGTATCCCACATGTATTTTGTTTTTGTTGCTGCTGCTGTATTTTTGTTTTCTCATTTAGATTCGAATGAGATGAGGTATCATCTCCTTTTAAATATTTTCGAAATATATCTCGTAAACCCATTTGTACAAAAAGAAAAATGACTAGATTATTTTCTGAAAGTAATGGACAAAAAACAGAATGTTTGTTTTCTTATCATACTGCACTGATTGTATTTATATACATATAAACATGGACGGAAAAATGAAGTACGTACCACGTACTGGCAGTGCGTTTATGTACGAACTTAATGGATACATATTTCTTTTGCTTCTTTCTCCTTTTATTTTCAAATATTTGTCGTATGAAATGACGTGTTCTGTATGCTTTTATCGTTATCATTCTTTACCTCATCAATATGTGTAATATTTGCTTTGTTAAAATAGCTTACAAACACTATTATTTTAGATTAAAAAAAAAGACGGAAGAAACATGACAAGAGTAAAATTCACGACTACTATTTTATCTTTAAACTTCGAAAAGAAAAAGTCATTAATTCAAATAAATATGATTCATTCGAAATCAGAATTTGATAATGTAAGAAAACAAAGTCAACAGCAACAAGACTATTTTTATAATTGTGCAATAAATAATACTTACATTTGCATTCTTTTATTGTCTTATCAGAAAATCATTATATATATATATATTTAGACTTACTTTTTACTTGATGTCATTTTGTTGTTGATAGAAAGCTTTGATCAAGATTGATCGATAGATATATCTAAAAAATATAATATTTCAGATGGAATAAAATCTTTTGTTTTAAATAATATTATAACATAATGTATGAATATTTCTATCATGCGAAACGATCATTCAAAAACAACAACAACAATCATAATAATAATAAACGAAAAAAAGAGAAAAAAAAAACAGAACAAACATTACGACGACGAATCGACAGACAAATAGTCATGAGCTCTTTATTTTTTTTGTTATTATTAGTTTTTATATCAATATTTAGACAAAACAATTTTTTTATTAGATTTCTAATTATCGAAATGATCGGTATTATCATTATAAAATATTCATTTTTCTGAATAAATTAATACATAGATAAAAAAAATACATCTATCATACCGACAGCGCTATTTTTGTATTAGTCATTATTAACCAATCAAACGTTCGTTTTACCAACGACTTCTATAACTAACTATTTTAATTATCAATAGAGTTTGATTGTCTTACATTCTCGATAATTTTAAAATAAAAATTTAAAAACTATTTGCAATTCTATCAGTGTATTAGTACTGTACATATATGTATTTCGTCAGTGGTGATACTTTCTGTTCGATGAGTCGCTCTTGAGAATCATAGGTTCTGCGTTGAATTACATTTATTATTTGTACTTACCACTAAGAATGATGATGTTGGTGATGAATCGTAAGTGAACAGAAAATATATACGATAGTGGGTGATACGTATTCGGGAAATACCTATTGGATTGTCAAAATATAGTAGTTGGAGAAAATCTCAAAAGATGCAATACATATGATAAGAAGGAATAACCCAAACATATGTGTCATTTTAACGAAGAAATCAATCAAGTAGAACGAAAGAACAATACGTATGCGAGGAGTACAATTAGTAAATATTATATCGATACGACATGTTTGGCTTGGGTGTTGAATTTTAACTATTCGGAAATTAGATCTTTGAAATACAAGTAGGGTGTGGGTGTGAACGTTGTCTCTCATTCTTACAATTTAAAAAAACTTACCCAATTTACATTAACTCTATTTATTTCTGTACATCTGATATCAAAAGAAATTTATTGCTTAATAGTACTTAACATTACTTGAAATCTTTGGTAATATAGATATGAACCAGAATGTAAACAAAAAATTAATATAATATTTATTCTTTATATATGTCCACAATCTATTTTAAATTCATACTTATATGTCTTATTAAATAATTAAATATTTCTTAGGAAATGAATTGATCGAAATAGTCCGATCTGATAGAATTTAGGATAAATATTTTTGTAAATATATTTGACTTTCAATCAATAAATAAATGTTTTTTCATTATAATATATGACATTAACTTTCTTTTGTTCTTCATTTTGAATATTTCATTTGTATTATGTATAGTTGTTGTCAATAAAGTCTTCAAGAGAAATAGATCTTATCAAGAAAAAGAAGAGAAAATATTTTTATCATACAGAGATAGTAAATGAATTATTTAATTATCAAATAATACTAATCTTGAAATATAAAAGTCATTCACACTCATATCGGCAAATCAAGTCATATAGCTGTGGATCGTATGAACATATTGTTTATTTTTGTTTATGTATTAGTTTCAATCTTTTGACTTAAATCTTTTCCTTTATTAGTCAACATGTGATATTCTATTATGTCCAGACAAGAAATTTTCCTAGGAGAATCTACTATTACGTCTTGCTTTTCTTTTTGAATTTTGATTGTAACAATTTTTTAGAAAACCAGAATGATTTTGAGTGACGATTTTTAAGTTGAAACTTTACAATCAAATATCTTTTTATGTGAATGTATTAATAAAAGTCGAATTGTTGAATAATCTAACTAACGAAGAATCTATCTAATTGTTAACTCTCGTTTTAATATGTATATCTTGTTTGTAGGTAGAACGTAAGAGTTAGAAATGTACGATACCAATCCCTAAGATCAAAATTAAATTTTTATAGGGATCACAATAATGATTTAGATCAAACATTTAACATTCATTAATATCGGAACTATAAACTGTAGTTAAATCTTCCATACATTTTATTAAAATATGACATAAATCAGATGAATCAAAAATAAAACTCCAAAATATTGATATTTGTTGATTAAACTTATAAAGAAACCGATACTGTCAATCCTGAAACAATTCGTATCATTGTGCCTTTCTTTTCGATCTATATTCATTTTGTTGAACTCTCAATTGATAGCAGGATAATACGACAATCAAGTGTCAATAAGGAATTTTCGTCTGATAATTTATACAAGAATAGATCTTATGATATTTATAATAATTCGGAAGTTTCAAGTGAAACAGACGTTCATCTGTATCCATCATACTCTCACCCATACTTATTATATCATTCTTTGATTTATTTATATCTATTTGCAGTTGGTAAAAGCTATTTTTTACTGATCAGAATTCTAGTTGTAATTGAAACGAAATTGAAATTTGTACTAATACTTATCTCTAATAGACTGATCACTATGCAATGATTTATTGCTAATTCTAGTACTTACCATTTAATATTTACATTGTTTGTGTGCATATTTTTTTACTAGGCATTTCATCTGATATACTGATCACTTAAATCATATATATTCAAATAACTCACATCTATATTCATATTTATTTACTTCGTTGTAAAAAGAATGTGCACTCGGTTTTACTAACGATGACTTATTTTTTATCAAATGTTTTTTTCTTGACAACTACCGTTCAAATTGTATTTCTTGATATGATTAAGACTCGTATTTTATTTAATTAATGATAATTTTATAAAAGCATTCACGATTAAGTAGCTTGATTGCAACATTAAAATTTATACTTCAGTTAACAAATGAAAATATAGTTCTGTTGATTTCGATCAATATAACTCAGCACTATTGAGAAAACCACCATCATTCAGTCCATCAGTAACTAATACTTTTCCATTTTGTAATACGGATGCTGTATGAGAATATCGTGCAACACTCATGCTTGCGATAGTTGTCCAATTGCCTGTTTCTGGATCATATAACTCAGCACTATTGAGAATACCATTATCATCCCTTCCACCAGTAACTAATACTTTTCCATTTTGTAATACGGATGCTGTATGATATGCTCGTGCAACATTCATGCTTACGATAGTTGTCCAGTTGCCTGTTTCTGGATCATATAACTCAGCACTATTAAAAATACTAAGGAAAATACCACTATCATCTTCTCCACCAGCAACTAATACTTTTCCATTTTGTAATACGGATACTGTATGATCAGCTCGTGCGACATTCATGTTTCCTGTAGTTGTCCAGCTACCTGTTTCTGGGTCATATAATTCAGCACTATTGAGAATACTATTATCATCCCTTCCACCAGTAACTAATACTTTTCCATTTTGTAATACGGATGCTGTATGAGAATATCGTGCAACACTCATACTTGCGATAGTTGTCCAATTGCCTGTTTCTGGGTCATATAACTCAGCACTATTGAGATAACCATAACTGTTATATCCGCCAGTAACTAATACTATTCCATTTTGTAATACGGATGCTGTATGATATGCTCGTGCAACATTCATGCTTACGATAGTTGTCCAGTTGCCTGTTTCTGGATCATATAACTCAGCACTATTTAAAAAACCATTATCATCCCATCCACCAGTAACTAATACTTTTCCATTTCCTAGTACGGATGCTGTATGATGATATCGTGCAACACTCATGCTTCCAGTAGTTGTCCAATTACCTGTTGTTGGATCAAATAGTTCAGCACTATTGAGAGCACCATCATCATTCCATCCACCAGAAACTAATACTTTTCCATTTTGTAATACGGATGCTGTATGATCAGCTCGTGCGACATTCATGTTTCCTGTAGTTATCCATCCTAGACAAGGCAGACAAACGAGAAACAAATATTATTGCTTTCAACAATTTTAAATTAGTCATATACAAAAGTCCTATATGCATTGATCATAAACTAAATAATCTCAGGACTTCAATAAAGTTTTGTGTTTTTACGTTTATGATAGGGTTCATGTCGAAACTTTAAAACAATATAAAATATATAAGAAACTTAAGAGTATTTGATTTTTAACGAATTAATAGAATATATGTCACTTTTCTGACTATCAAGTATGCCTGTAAGCCGTGTAAAAATTTTTTTTGTTTTAGGATCTATTTTATTAAACAATTTTCAATGTGTTCTCAAAGTCAGCAAGCAAAAATAATATTTCTTTCTGTTTAAGATCTAAATTCGAATGATAATCTCGCACTAAGATTGTGTAAACATCTATTCGGTTTTTGAAAATATATGGTATATCTTGATTGAATAGTTCTTTCAATGTATTGAGCATCGATTTATAAAGCTAATCAAAAACTACTACTACCGTCGACTCTAGATCGACGATGGCTATGAATTCTTATTCGTTACATCGAATGAAGCGATGCTATTTTAATTAATGCAATCATCAGCAAATTCTTAGACGTCGGATTCAAGATTTTACGACCAGCTCTGTACGAAGGAACAGCTTTTACAAAAAAACTATCTGTAACTACTTAAGTTCGAACTTACTTTCATCGTTGATGACTGAAATGTGCATATCTGATTAGAGTTCACCAAAAACAATCATAAACTGACGTCAATGTGGACACTTATTCGACTTTTAATCGAAATCTTTCCCCTAATACGACAATGGATGCTAATATGTAAGTATTTTTTCTTTTTGTGCATTTAAAGGTATGAAAAATTCTACTAAAATCAACAGAATTTACCAAAGTCACTAGGGTTTACTAGGATCTGCACAATCTACTGCGATTTAGTATAATTTAGCCATTGCTCTCGCTCAAAGAACAGTCTAATGTAGGTTTTGTGACACTCACAAAGGAAAATATATCCTTTGTGTGTCTACCTTCACTGTCAGCCACGAGAATGGTCACTCTTAGCAACGAGGATGCTCCTAGTATGTGTTTCCACCTTTCCCTCTTCCTAATATTTGATCTACGGAGGATTGAGTGTGATTATCAAAAATAGGCCGAATTTTAAGACTTCATAGAAAGTGTTCTCCGACATTATTTATCTAAAGAAAGAATATCTGTGTTAAAAGATGAGATTTATCATCCTCTTGTTAGTCACATGCATCTTTTCTTTTGCATATGTTTTCTATTGCATTTACATATGTGTGCATATGTTAGTCGTCTCCGTTCTTTTCTACTTTTACTACCTTTTCTCATCTCATCATCTCTGTAGTTTCATTAATTTTTCTTTGTGAAGCTGAATGGTCATTGCCCATCTTCACATTGCTTTCTACGTGCTAAATGTAGTGCTGATTTCCTTTCGGTAAAGCACCACTATCATCATTTATTTATCTTCACTATGTGAGGGTAGTCACCTAGAACGGTTCAACCACTAGTCAGAACCACACACTCAAAATTCGTCAGATAAAACAAAAAATTCTAGATCTAATTATCTGAAATATGCATATCTTAAGTAGCTAGGTATTAACTAGTCTATTGCTGACCTGGTGCTGCTGTCGCTGTTGTTGTTGACGATAATGATGACGATGTTGTTTCTGTTGTTGTTGTTGATGATGATAATGTTGTTGTTGTTGTTGTTGTTGTTGTTGTTGATGGTGACGATGTTGTTTCTATTATTGTTATTGTTGTTGGTGATGATGATGTTGTTTCTGTAGCTGTTGATGTTGATGAATCTGTTGTTTCAGTTTCTGTTCTTGTTGACGGTGACGATGTTGTTTCTGTTGTTGTTGATGGTAACGATGTTGTTTCAGTTTCTGCAGTTGTAGTTGTTGATGGTAACGATGTTGTTTCAGTTTGTGTAGTTGTTGTTGTTGATGTTGATGAAGATGTTGTTTCAGTTTCTGTTGTTGTTGATGTTGATGAAGATGTTGTTTCAGTTTCTGTTGTTGTTGCTGGTGACGATATTGTTTCTCTTGTTGATGATGATGATAATGTTGTTGTTGTTGTTGTTGTTGTTGATGACGATGATGATGTTGTTTCTGTTTCTGTTATTGTTGTTGATGTTGATGAAGATTCTGTTT